CGGGGGCCCCCGTCGCCGGCACGGCGGGGCAGGGAATGCCCGGTGCGGCGGGCCCGGACAGCCGGCTGCCGTGTGGGGGAGCAGAGATCAGGCAGGAACGGGACGGTTCTGGTTATGGAAGCTTTACCGTCAGAGCGCAAACGCTTCTCTCCCGTCTCTTTTCTTCTCTCTAACCCGATTCCGTGTTATCAGTCCGGCTGAACCGAGGAGCGAAGGAGATGGAGAGCAAAACCACAGAGCTGAGGTCTAATTCTAGGTCAAAACAGATCGAATTAATTCATTTTTGATGCAATGTCAGTATTTGAAAGCACGTAATAAAAACAAAATCTGTTTTTTCTCCCTCTTTGGCCATGTTGATGGGCTGGCTCAGGCTCAGCGGAGGCCAGGCCGCTGCCCGCTCCTGCCCCCTCCGCACGACGAGGGATTCTCTTCTAGGCATTCAACTCCTGAAATACAACGATTTTTATTTAAGGAATTGGTGTTACTTCATTAGGATTCTGACTTTTTTGTAGCCACGGAACGGTTATGTATTGTTGAGACTATCCACTAGCCTGCAATACGGAAAAACATAAATAACGGAAAAAGTATTAGGCACTTTAATTCCATTAAACGAACTGAAAATGAAGAGTTCGCTTACAAATATGAATTTAGAAGTTTGCCTTGTTACAACACTTTAAAGTTACCTGAATAGCAGCGTTGCAGGCGATAACGAGCGCTGATGACGAGCGCTGGGTTTGCACGCTTTGGGGCTGATGACAGCAGGTGACGGCTCCATGGCTTTACACAGTAAATGACAGCGTCTTGGACTGGTAACAGCTGGATTTCCTCCATCCATTCACCCCCTACTCTCTGCAGCTGCCAAGCCCCGTCTTTACTAAAATTACTGAAATCCTTAAAAGTAGCGTAACCTTTTCTTGCATGTTTGTTAAATTCTCTGCCAAATGTCTGACTGCCAGTTGAGCTAAAGGAGACTTCCCCCTTGTCGTTAGCTCTTGAGCGATGTGAACTTGCGTAACCTTTGTCTTTCCAAGATGAAAGCAGAATTGTAAGGAAAAAACGCCAAAGAATGTGTCAATTCTTTAGATCTAAAATTGGGCAAAAGTCCCAAGGAGCCCGACTGGTTCTTTTCACATGCTTAAAGCCTTTTGGTAGGTAATGGCTGTTGATCTCCTGATTTACAATGACAAGGTGGAATTCCCCGGGTCTTCTAACAAACCCAATTTCTATTTGTTGAACGTTGCCGTTTGGGAGTGATTCCTCCTCCTGTTTGTCTTGGCTTTGTGTAAACTTGTTCAGAATGAAGCGTGATCAGTGTTGTCACTTAACTCTGATGTTGTCTCTTTTCCCTTCCTTTCTGCCTGCCTGCTGCTTTCATTCTGTAGTATTGGTATTTGCCATTCATTTCACCTTCTGCATCTATGCATCTCATGGTAGGTGATAGGCTTTTAATGTGAGATTAGACTCTCTGTAATGTTTCTGAATGCTAAAACTGAAAGCAGAAATAAATTATGATGGTTTATTTGTTCCTGAAAACACTTCCTTCAGGTTCTGTGAAAAGCTAAAGCCTATTGTAGCCTTTTGGTTTGCAGCCTTTAATGACCGTGTAATCACTGGTCCAGCTTAATGGCTCCCAAGAAAACGCACTTTGGCGTAGTTGCTTCTGGCTGAGGGTCGGTGACGGTGGTGGCTGGGAGAGGAGACCTCTTCCTTTGGCATTTTCTGCAAATCTGGCAACTGTGCAAAGAAAGCCCAAGTAACTTTGATCCTAGCCGGGCACAGAAAGCGGATGTGAACAACACAGATCTGCTGAGCTGACCTGAAGTCGTCCTTGCTGTTCCTCTTCTAGGTCTGAGGAGCTGATTTTAATATAGCAAATTATGTGCCTAGATAACTTTCTAGGGGCCAGATGAGTATTGTTTTTTCTTGGTAGCAAAATATCATAAATCTGTGAATGGACAAGCATTTTTTGTCCTGTTGAAAGGACCAGAAATGGAGCCTAACGAGTGTTGCCCATTTGCAGCACGATCATGAAACACAGGTAACAGATGGAAGTTTGAGCCAGTTTTCACCTCTGGGTCAGTGTTTGAAATAAATTTAGGTTCCTGATAACTGCACGTTTAGCCATCCAGGAGGTGGCCAGTAGCACACAAATGCCCTGGAGATGCCATTGCAGTTATCTGGGGATGTGCTCGTTAAAGCAGAGAGAGAGATGCTAATTGGCAGCTGACAGAGTTGCTAAGAGTGGCTACAGAGAGTGTGAACAGCCTCCTGGCTTGCCTCTTCAGGGCAGATTTGGGACAGGTTAATGGGAAGTTGGGAAGTGCTATGTGCGTGGAGAGAGGGAGAGAAAGAAAGTGCTCAGTCGTTCCTAGTCAAAGAGGATTTCTCTTTCCAAGGAGACTGAAGTTACCTTGCCAAAATACGAACTGGGATCTCTCCTTATTAAGCAGCAAATTCCTTTGAGACAGCAGGTTTCTATTCCCCCTCTGCGGGCCAACGGAAGCAGCGCTGGACACAGATGCAGCAGTGCTCAGTCAGTTTTCTCTTTGGCTTGTGCTAAATCCCTTCTGCCTCTGTCTAGAACTCGGAGCTCTTCACGCTGACGTACGGCGCTCTGGTCACCCAGCTGTGCAAGGACTATGAGAACGACGAGGATGTCAACAAGCAGCTTGACAAAATGTAAGTGGATCTGCTGCAGTGGAGCCTTGTAGGAGCTCGGGTTCACAGTATGGCATGTCTGCGTGCTGCACTAAGAATAAAAACCTGGCAGACTGAATTTCATTTAATACTGATATTTCTCAGATTTCATTTTTTTTTCCTCCACTGTCTTCTTTTATAAACATTGGCTGTCTTTCTAAAGCTACCCTCTTCCCGCTCTAGCTGTTGCTCTTTGGTACGTTCACAGGGGTTACAACATAGGTGTTCGGCTAATAGAAGACTTTCTGGCCCGGTCCAATGTCGGAAGATGCCATGATTTCCGTGAAACTGCAGATGTTATTGCAAAGGTAATTGTCAAAGCACAGCTTTGTCAGGTTTTGTCATGGTTTTGCATGTGAAGATAGAGTATTTGCTACTCACAGGACTGTTGTGAGAGTTTGACTGAGATTTTGGGGAGGAGAAAGAGAGAATTAGATCCCTGACTGGTGGGAATTGGGAGAAAGGCGTGGTGTTTTCAAGTAATTTGGCAAAGATCAAAGCTATGCTGTTGCTTCTTGGGGCACGATCTTGTTCATACTCTGTTTGACGTAACAGATAGCATTTAAGATGTACCTGGGCATCACTCCAAGCATCACCAACTGGAGTCCCGGCGGCGATGAGTTCTCCCTGATCTTGGAAAATAACCCCTTGGTGGACTTTGTTGAGCTCCCTGACAACCACTCATCTCTCATCTATTCCAACCTGTTGTGTGGAGTGCTGCGAGGTGCCCTGGAAATGGTGAGCCAACGTCTC